GAAACTAGATCCTGCCTCTCAGGTATTTACACGACGATTCGTAACAATAGCAAAATGACAACGAAAATAATTTTATGGCTGGGGGATCACCACAACATGAGAAACTGTATGAAAGGGTTGTGGCATGAGGAAGGTTGAGAACCACTGGTCTGAAGTCTAGGTTGTGGACAGTTCCACTCAGTACGAAGTCTCTGATGTCCACAAGTCCAGCAGCAAACACGGCCGCTGACCACAACTGCTCTTGATGGCAAATGATCTCAGCAAAATAAACGCCGTTAAATGTCTTTTATTAAGAAACAAAAGTTATCTTTATTAAAAGAATGATCTCACTTCACACACATGATCTCAGTGTAGGTGTGCAGTAAAGAAACCAGAAATTAAGGGTGTGTGTGTGTGTGTGTGTGTGTGTGTGTGTGTGTGTGTGTGTTAATTACTGCTGCACACATTGTGGTGGTTACATACTCGCACGTCAGTTTGAGGGTTTTAAGAGTGTAGGGGTGGAGTCTAGCCTGTCAGTCAGGTCACAGCATGCCGATGTGTCCTTGTAGGCATGGTCTTCTTTGAGCATTCTGGGAACTTCCTCTTTCCCCCTGGAGGTGGGCCACACTCTCTTTCTGTTTCACCTTCCTGTTGACAAGCCAGGTGGAGCCATGCTAGGACCCAAGTGAGCCCTGTGATGCTTCTACCTCCATTGGATCCACAAGAATTTTCACCCACCAGCCTGTGATCTTCCTGCATTCTGCATCATTGCATGTGCTGCGTGAGTCTAAAGAGGGATTTATGGACTAGTATCAGACTTATGGGCTAATATTGGACTTACGGACTTGATCTGGTCTGGGCTGGGATTCTTTCTCAATATACAATTGTTCTTTATAATATAAAGTTCTCTCTTACACATACAAGTGTCTCTGGATTTGCTTCTCTAGTCAACCCGGCCTAACACACACATGAAGGCATAACTTAGAGAACTCATACCGTATCTTTGCAGCAAAAGGGCGCTGCTGGCCTCTGAGCCCTAAAGCTACAGAAGGTGTGATGGTCAATGTTAAGTGTCAGCTGGGCTAGGCTATGATTTTAAGTGCTTTGCCAGACACAATGTAATCAATCTTCCTTCCATTTTGTGGTCTGAGATGAGCAGCCAATCAGAAGGGCAGTTTCCTTGGGGGGGGGGGGGGTGGCCTGCATCCAATATATATGTATATGGATGCTGTGGCAAGGCCTCTCTATTTTTCCTGAGATCTTTCCACATCTGACCTCTGTACAAAAGGCAGCAGAGGCCTCCAGTCAGTTGCCTGTCCCACAGTTTCAGCTGTGTCAGCTTCTGCAGCCGTGAGCCAACAGAAGTCTCAACCTGTTGTCTGACTATGTTTGGGGGACTTGCCAGCCCTCCTGCTTGCACAAGCCATTTTCTTGGAGTGAATTTCTCTACATATATATCTATATGTACACTTCCCTGGGCTTGCTGCTCAAGAGAACACAGATAAAGACAGAAGACATGCCCACCATCCAGAAGTCCATCCCTCTCACACCAATCAGCACTGCTCCAGAGCGGAAGTCTAGCCTTCCTATAAGATTGACAGTGTGGGTTGGTTGGCTGGTTCTACCCTGAGTTATCAATGTGGTCCCAGGACCCTTCTCATTGTGTCCCAGCACATTGATAAATGCTACTGCTAACTGGCTTCTCCAGTGCTCACATTCTAATGTCAGAAACACAGTTAATTACCTCTTGTGTCTTCACAGGTAGTGATGTCTTCAGCTAAACATCCAGGAAATCACCATGATTCATGCCTCCTCACAGTGCCCAACTTTCTGCCACCATCTGACCCATCTGCTATATATGTATGTGTGCTCCATCGTCAAAACATTTGTTGAATCCATCTTCTCATTTGACTGGGCCATGACTCCCAGTGGCTTGGCTATGTAATGTGGCAGTAATGTGTGATCCCTCCACATGTGATCTGATATGATCACCTAATAATAGGATCAAGGGCAAGATACACTCCCAAATCAAACCTCTTCTCATCAAGTTATGTTGGACTGATAGTGACCCTATATAGCGTTTTTGAGACTATAAATCTTTGTAAGAACAGATAGCCTCATCTTTTCCCCATGGAACGGCTGGTGGGTTAGAACCACCAACATTGCGTTGCCAGACAGCATACACCCTAAGACCCTGATCTGATGTAAGGGGAATTTTCTTGGGGTGTGGCCAAGATAAAACACCTTTTAATCCAGCAAGAGAAAAAATGCGAGAGAAGCAAGCAGAGCTCAAACGAACCCACTACCCCCAAGAACACACAGCCCAGGCTCTTTGGACCTAGGGTCCCTGTGCTGAAAGACTTTGAGACCCAAGGGAAAATTGATGCCAAGACACTTGGAGATTTCCAAGGAATGTGAGACATACAAATGCTAACAGGAGACAGACTTCTATCCAGAGCTGAGGTAGTTACATAATCTGTTGTCATTTTGAGACTTAAGAGTAAAGGGGTGGAGTTTGGCCTGTCAATCAGGTCGCAGCTTGATGACTTCATTTGGAGGCGCTAAGGAGATAAATATCTCACTGGAGGTGGGACACATACTCCCTATGAGATCTGCTTGCTGAGAAGCCACATGGAGCTACCCTGATGTAGCCAGAGCCCTGGGAGCTGGAAGAGCCATGTGGAGACCCACACCAGTGCTGAGAAGCTTCTAGTGCCACTGGATCCACAAGACTTTCCATCCACTGGCCTGTGATCTTCCTGCATTCGGCGTCATTGCATGTGTTTCATGAGTCTGAAGAGGAATTTATAGATTGGTATTGGACATATGGGCAAATATCGGACTGATGGACTTGATCTGAACTGGGCTGGGATGTTTTCTCAATGTTCAATTGCTCTTTGATGTAAGGCTCTCTCTTACACACGAACGAGTGTCTCTGGATTCATTTCTCCAGTCTACTCGGACTAACACAAAAGCCCACACAGAAAGGAAACCTTTTGGCCTGGTAGCCTCAACTGTGAGAAAATAACTTACTGAAGACATTCACTTACAAGTATTTTTTGTAGCAGGACAAGGTAATTCCCTCCCAGACCTTGTTAAGCTGGAACATTTGATGCTATCTCTTCTCAAGACAGTGCATACTATGGGGGCAGGAAATTGCTGACTTGTCTAGCACTGTATTCCTAGTGCCTAGCACAATGCCAGGCACATAGTAGGTGCTCAAAATTGAGATCCTTAATGAATTAGCCCTGAAGTGTATTTCTGCTCCCATTTTACAGACTCAAAAGCTGCAGTCACGTGACTACCAGATAAGAGCGTCTGGTTCCAATCCCATACTGCCATCACTCTGATGGCACGGTGACCACCAGATTTCAACATTTTTGTTCTCTGGTGAGGAGCGCTGGTAGGGTGGTGGGTTACTTGTTGGACTGCTAACTGCCAAGGTCAGCAGTTTGAACCCACCAGCGGCTCCTTAGGAGAAAGACAGGGCCTTCTGCTCCTATAATGATTTGCAGCCTTGGGAATCCTCAGGGGAAGTTCTACTTTGTCCTAGAGGGTCCTATGAGTCTGAAGAGATTTGACGGCAGTGGACTTGGATTTTTTTTTTGGGGGGGGGGGGCAGGCTCTCTTGTGGCCCTCCTCTGTCACAGTCTCATACCCTGTCTCCAAAAGACCCCTGGGTGGTGAATGGTAACTGAAAGGTAGTTCAAACCCCCCAGTTGCACAGAGGGAGAAAGTTCTGCCAACTTGCTTCCACAGAGAAGATAGCCAAGAAACCCCATGGCACAGGTCTACCCTGCAGCCCATGGGGTCACGAGACAGATGGATTTGACGGCAACAGGAGTTGTTTCTTGAAGGGGTGGGGAGGTGGATTTATCATCACCTCATGGAGGGCAATTTGGCAATTCCTATCTAGGACTTGAACCCCTAGATCAGGAGCTGGCAAATGATGTAATAACTATCTGAGAGCCATAAATATATCTTGAGAAACAAATGCAATCGCCATTATCTGAACCGTATCCTTTAACAATGTTTCCATTTGTACTTCAGAGGCACATGTATGGATTGAAAGAGCCACAGAGGCTCTCGGCTGCAGTTTGCTGACCCCTGCTCTAGACAATGGAAAATGACATGTCTGCAGGACTTTCCATGATGGCACTGTGGTCATTACATAATCTGTTGTCAGCTTGAGACTATTAAGAGTGAAGGGGTGGACGTAGCTTGATGTCCTCATCTGGAGGCACTAAGGAGATAAGCTTGCTAGAGGCGGGACACATACTCACTTCCCTGCAAGACATTCCTGTTGACAAGCCACATGGAGCTATGCTGGTGGTACCCAGGGCCTTGGAGCTGGAGGAGCCATGTGGAGACTCACACCAGCGCTGAGATGCTTCCACCACCACTGGGTCCACAAGACTTTCTACCCACTGGCCTATGATCTTCCTGCATTTGGCGTCATTGCATGTAATGCGTGAGTCTGAAGAGGAATTTATATACTAGGAGGAACTTACATACTATAATGGACATATAGGCTAATATTGGACATATGGACTTGATCTGGGCTGGGATGTTTCCTTAATGTACGTCAGACAGGGCAAGATATGACA